CGTCCCTGAGACAGAAGCTGTCCCGGCGGCTCCTGAGTCACCGCGGGCCGCGGGGCTGGCACCGTCCCGCCCGCCTGCACCGCTGGCAGGAAGCTGGTGCCTCTGCCCAGTGTCCCCAGTTCCTCTCGGGTGTGGCCGCGCCCCTGGGGCGGTGGGGGCGGGGCCTCTCTTCCCGCAGGTTCTGGAGCTGGGAGTGGGTGCCTGGAGGGCGGATCCCTTAAGGGGGTCACGCCTGCTCCAGGGTTTGTCTCCCCCAGCCCTGGGGTCTCGCAGACTGGGGTGCAGCGGGCAAGGGGCTCTGGGTCTCACTCCCCTCCCCCCGCGCCTGCCTGTCCTCTCTGGAGCCTCCGGCCGGGCCCCCTGCCCACGCCCTCTCTGCCCTCAGGAACCTCAGCTCGGCGGACGCCGGCCGGCAGACCATGCGCAACTACGGGGGGCTCATCGACGCCCTCATGGCCTACGTGCAGAACTGCGTGGCCGCCAGCCGCTGCGATGACAAGGTGAGGGCGTGGCCGGGGCGTGGTCGGAGGGCACAGCGGGGCTTCCGGACAGACCCTGTCCCGGCTGCTCAGCCTGTCCCAACGGGCATCCTGCTTTTTCATCTATCTATCACCTCCCTCCCTCCCTCCCTCCCTCCCTCCCTATCTTTCTACCTGCCTACTTATCTATCTACCTACCTACTACCTACCTACCTACCTATCTATATCTATATCTATATCTATATCTATATCTATATCTATATCTATATCTATATCATCTATACCTATATCTATATCTATATCTATACCTATACCTATACCTATATCTATAGCTATAACTATATCTATATCTATATCTATATCTATATCTATATCATCTATACCTATATCTATATCTATATCTATATCTATACCTATACCTATACCTATACCTATACCTATATCTATAGCTATAACTATATCTATATCTATATCTATATCTATATCTATATACTATTGATTCCAGAGAGGAAGGGAAAGGAAGAGAGGGAGAGGGAGAGGGAGGGAGAAAAACAGCAATGCTGAGAGAGCATCAGGGACCGGCTGCCTCCTGCACCCCCCACTGGGGATGGAGCCCACACCCCGGGCCTGTGCCCTGACCCGGAATCGAACCCTGACCTCCTGGTTCCTAGATCGGCACGTAGGCCAGAGCAGTAGACACACGCTTCTGTCTGCTGTCCTACTAGGCGCTGAGCCCCCTCCTAGGCACCTCCCCAGTAGCCCGGAGCAGGTGACTTCAGCCCATTTTACAGCCGGGGAGACTGAGGCTCCGAGGGGCAGAGCCAGTGGCTCAGCGCACACAGGCAGAGAATGAGGGCTCCGGGTTCAAGCCCAGGTTCCGGAAGGGCCCGGAGGGGTCTTGCCTATGTGTGTATGTGTGTGTGTGGGTGGGGGACGCCTGAGCAGCCAGAGGGGGAGACCGGCAGCGATCCCCTCCCTCCTCCCCCTGGCGGCCCCCACTCAGCTCAGGCCCACCCTCTCGCCCCCAGTCCGTGGAGAACTGCATGTGCGTCCTGCACAACCTCTCGTACCGCCTGGACGCCGAGGTGCCCACCCGCTACCGCCAGCTGGAGTACAACGCCCGCAACGCCTACACCGACAAGTCCTCCACTGGCTGCTTCAGCAACAAGAGCGACAAGATGATGGTGAGTGGCCGGGCCCCCCCGCATCCCCCCACCCCTCCCTGGATCGGCTGCCTCCGGCACGCCCCCACACGGGGAATCGAACCGGGACCTCCCGGCTCCTAGGTCGACGCCCGCTCAGCCCCGGAGCCACGCCGCCGGGCCCCCTCCCTCTTTCTCGTGGCCCCAGGGAGGGGAGGGGCCCCGGGGGCGCCCAGGTGGGAACGGGCCCTGGGGGGGGTGCGTGGAGAGGGGGGCAGCCTGCTGACCGCCCTCGGCCCCCAGAACAACAACTACGACTGCCCGCTCCCCGAGGAGGAGGCCAACCCCAGGGGCAGCAGCTGGCTGTACCACTCGGACGCCATCCGCACCTACTTGAGCCTCATGGGCAAGAGCAAGAAGGACGCCACCCTGGAGGCCTGCGCGGGGGCCCTGCAGAACCTGACGGCCAGCAAGGGGCTGGTGAGGACCCCCTGCCCCCCCCATCGCCCGTTCTCCCCTCCCCCCCTCCCTGCCCCCCACCCTCACCCTCCCCCTCCCCAACCCACGCCCCTCCCCAATCCCCATCTTCCCCCTCCCTCCCCCTCCCCCCCTCCCCCTCCCCATCTCCCCTCCCCCTGCCCCCCACCTCCCCTCCCCCTCCCCCACCCTCCCTCCCCCTCCCCCCATCTCCCCCTTCCCCCTCCCCCCTGCAGAACCTGATGGCCAGCAAGGGGCTGGTGAGGAGCCCCTCCCCCTCCTCCCTCCCCCACACACCCTTCCCCCTTCTCCCTCCATACCCCCTCCTCCCCTGGCAGGCTGCTCCCCGCTCCCCCCTGAGGCCCCTGCGGGGGGGGGGGGAGGCCCGGCCCTCTGTGGCCCCCGCCCCCCCCTCCGCCCCGCTAGAGCTCGGCCGGCCTCACGGCCCTCACGGGCCTCCGGTCTCTGAGCAGATGTCCAGCGGCATGAGCCAGCTCATCGGGCTCAAGGAGAAGGGGCTGCCGCACATCGCCCGCCTGCTGCAGTCCGGCAACTCGGACGTGGTGCGCTCCGGCGCCTCGCTGCTCAGCAACATGTCCCGCCACCCCGCACTGCACCGCGTGATGGGTGAGCCTGCCCCGCCCCTCCTGCCCTGCCCTACAGCCGGCACCACAGCCGGCCGCCCCCTCCCCACCCCACCCCCCAGCCCACAGCCGGCACCCCACACAGCCCGGCCGCCCCCTCCCCACCCCACCCCCCAGCCCACAGCCGGGCACCCCACACAGCCCCACAGCCCGGCCGCCCCCCTCCCCCAAACCCACCCCCAGCCCACAGCCCGGCACCCCACAACAGCCCCAACAGCCCGGCCAACCCCTCCCCACCACACCCCCCAGCCCACAGCCCGGCACCCCACACAGCCCCACAGCCCGGGCCGCCCCCCTCCCAACCCCACCCCACAGCCCACAGCCCGGCACCCACCAAGCCCGGCCCGCCCCCTCCCCAACCCACCCCCAGCCCCAGCCGGGCAACCCCACACAGCCCCAACAGCCCGGCCGCCCCCTCCCCACCCCACCCCCCAGCCAACAGCCGGGCACCCCCCACAGCCCCCAGCCCGGCCGCCCCATCCCCACACCACCCCCAGCCCACACAGCCGGGCACCCCACACAGCCCCACAGCCGCGCCCGCCCCCTCCCCCACCACACCCTCCAAGCCCACAGCCGGGCACCCACACCAGCCCACAGCCCGGCCGCCCCCTCCCCACCCCACCCCCCAGCCCACAGCCGGGCACCCACACAGCCCGCCGCCCCCATCCCAACCCCACCCCCCTGCCCACAGCCCGGCCACCCCCCCACGGCCTGGCACCCCCAGCAGCCAGGCCGCCCCCAGCCCCCTCTCCAGGGCCACTGGAGGTCACCTTCTGCCCGCCTCCCGGGGCCAGCCTTCAGGGGGACGCTGGGAGGTGGGAGGGGCCGGTCACCTGGGACGGACAGCAGGTGTGGGAGGTCCCACCAGGTCCCCAGCCCCCTTGGGAGCTGGACCAGACCACAAGCCCTGCTCTGCCTCGTCCCCTGACCCCAGGCCCTCGGCCCCTGACCCCCGCCCCCCTTCTCTCCAGGAAACCAAGTGTTCCCCGAGGTGACGCGGCTGCTGACCAGCCACACAGGCACCAGCAGCAACTCGGAGGACATCCTGGCCTCCGCCTGCTACACCGTGCGGAACCTGATGGCCTCCCAGCCCCACGTGGCCAAGCAGTTCTTCTCCAGCAGCATGACCAACAACCTGGTCAACCTGTGCCGAAGCAGGTGCGCAGGAGCCCGCCGTCCCCCTCCCAGCCCCCCCAGTCCCCGCCCCCTTTCCCGCTCCCCCCACCCACCTCCCGCCCCATTTCCAGCTCCCCCAGCCCCCTCCCCGCCCCCTTTCCCCCTCCCCCACCCCCCTCCCCCGCCCCCTTTCCCGCTCCCCCACCACCTCCACGCCCCACCACCCGTCCCCTGCTCCCCCCCTGCCAGCTCCCCGCCCCCTTTCCCACTCCCCCAGCCCCCTCCCCGCCCTTTCCTACCCACTACCCACCCCCTCCCACGCCCCCTTTTCCACTCCCCCACCCCACTCCCCCGCCCCCTTTCCGCTCCCCCCCAGCACCCTCCCCGCCCCTTTCCCCCACTCCCCCCCCACCTCCCGCCCCCCTTTCCCCACTCCCCCACCCACCTCCCCCACCCTTCACATTCCCCCCCATGCCTGCCCCCCCCACACTCCCGCCCCCCTTCCCCACTCACCCCACCCACCTCCCCGCCCCCTTTCCCGCTCCCCCACCCACTTCCCCGCCCCCTTTCCGCACTCCCCCCCCACCCACCCTCCCCGCCCCCTTTCCCACTACCCCCACCCACCCCCCCCCGCACCACCCTACCCCGCCCACTTCCCACCACCCTGCCACCCACCAACCCCAACACTACCCTCGCCCCCCCCTGGCCAGCTCCCCGCCCCCTTTCCCACTCCCCCACCCCCCTCCCCGCCCCCTTTCCCACTCCCCCACCCACCTCCCCGCCCCCTTTCCCACTCCCCCACCCCCCTCCCCGCCCCCCCTTCCCGCTCCCCCCCCCTGCCAGCTCCCCGTCCCCACTCTCCCCGCTCCCCGCCCCCTTTCCCACCCCCTCACCCCGCCCTCCGGAGGGTCCCCGGACCTCACACTGCCCCCCCCATGCGCAGCGTCTCCCCCAAGGCCGCCGAGGCCGCCCGGCTGCTGCTGACGGACATGTGGTCCAGCAAGGAGCTGCAGAGCGTCCTGCGGCAGGTGCGAGGGCAGGGCAGTGTCCGGGGTGAGACGGGGGGGGGGTCTCAGAGGCCCCAGAGCCTCTGGAGGGGCAGGGGAGGAGGCGGCCCAGGCCTGCAGGGGCGGACCCCGGACCCACACCCCTGCCCCTCCGCCTGTCCCCCCGCAGCAAGGCTTCGACCGGAACATGCTGGGCGCCTTAGGCGGCCCCAACAGCCTCCGGAACTTCACCTCCCGGTTCTGAGGGGGCGGCCGGAGCAGGCGCGGCTCGCAGGTGAGACTCGGCCCCGCCCCCGGGTCAGGGGGGCCGGGGGACCCGGCAGCTGGGCCAGTCTCAGGGCGAGCTCCCCGGGGGCCCAGAGCACCTCACGGGGCACCCCTGCCCTCACCAGGGTGCCCCTGCCCTCACCTGGGTGCCCCTGCCCTCACCTGGGTGCCCCAGCCCTCACCGGGGTGTCCTCACCGGGGTGCCCCTGCCCTCATGGGTGCCCCTGCCCTCACCAGCATGCCCCAGCCCTCACCGGGGTGCCCCTGCCCTCACCTGGGTGCCCCAGCCCTCATGGGGTGCCCTGCCCTCACCAGCATGCCCCAGCCCTCACCGGGGTGCCCCAGCCCTCATGGGGTGCCCCTGCCCTCACCAGCATTCCCCAGCCCTCACCGGGGTGCCCCAGCCCTCATGGGGTGCCCCTGCCCTCACCAGCATGCCCCAGCCCTCACTGGGGTGCCCCAGCCCTCATGGGGTGCCCCTGCCCTCACCAGCATGCCCCAGCCCTCACTGGGGTGCCCCAGCCCTCATGGGGTGCCCCTGCCCTCACCAGCATGCCCCTGCCCTCACCTGGGTGCCCCAGCCCTCATGGGGTGCCCCTGCCCTCACCAGCATGCCCCTGCCCTCACCAGGGTGCCCCAGCCCTCACCGGGGTGCCCCAGCCCTCATGGGGTGCCCCTGCCCTCACCAGCATGCCCCAGCCCTCAGCCCTCATGGGGTGCCCCTGCCCTCACCAGCATGCCCCTGCCCTCACCGGGGTGCCCCAGCCCTCATGGGGTGCCCCTGCCCTCACCAGCATGCCCCTGCCCTCACCGGGGTGCCCTCACCTGGGTGCCCCAGCCCTCATGGGGTGCCCCTCCTCACCTGCTGCCCCCCTCCCTCTGCAGAGATGACAGGACCCCGTGGGGAGGCCCGGCCGGCCGGGGGTCGGTCTGCCCACCTTGCAGTATTTGGACAAGGTCCAGCCGCGGAGCGCAAACCCGGGACCCGTGGCGGATGGAGATTCTTTTTCCCCTTGGGGGCGACGGGGGCTGGGGAGGGGGGGGCTTTCCTGAGATAAGTGAGCTTTTTCCGATGTCCATACTTCTTTTGCTGAGAAATGCTATATATATATATGTGTATAACGTGTGTGAGCATGCGTGTGCTTGTGTGTGTGTGCATGTGCGTGTGTGTCTGAGTGCCTGTGAGCTCGACCTTGAACCGCAGGCACCAGGCAGCTGTCTGGGGCGGCTCAGAGCCGGGGAGAAGGCTCTCCCGTTGCTTACCCTGTGCTTGTGGGCACTGCCCCTGGGGTCCCCCCGGGGTCCCCCCGGGGCCCTGCAGGGGGCCTCACCCCGGGGCAGCCCTCTCCGCTCTGGAGGCAGCTGGGCAGGCAGGAAGGGGCTGGGTGGTGAGGTCCACGGGTCTCCTGGGACAGGCTGGCTGCAGAGCCACGGGCGGGCGGGGCGGGGCGGGGGGGGGGCAAGGACAGCCGCCTGGTTTGCTAGGTGGGGTCTCTCCCAGGGGAGTGGGGCCCAGGGAGAGGGGGTTCCGAGTCCGTGGGCTCAGCCTGTGAGTGTCATTCTCGCCTCCGGGCGCCCCCTGCCGGAGAAAGACGGGAAGGGGGGCCTGGGCCAGGGGATGATGGGCTGTTTGCCCCTCAGCTGCCCTGTGGGGAGGGGCCAGCTGGGCCCAGACAGGGGCACTGAGAGACTCCCAGGAGGTTACGTCCCACCACACCGGGGTGCCTGGGAGACTTGAGTGAGGGAGGGTGTGGGGTTCGAGCCACACCCAGAGAAAGGGAGGAATAGACCAGCAAAGGGACTGACCCCTCAGGCCCCCACCGTCCCCTGGGCCCCAGCCGGACAGAGCGAGGCTGTCCGGGGCGCCTGCCCGCCCCCCCCCCCCCAGAGACCCCACTTCGCATGCATTTCAGCCGCACGGCCTCCTGGGAAGAGCTGGCTGCAAACCGGCCTTGGAGGTCTGTGGCCGGAGCCGACCACAGGGGCCCGGGAGGCCAGGGCCTGGGCAGGCAGCCACGGGGCCGTGTCCTCCTCTGCACCCTGACCCCGGAGCCTGGCGGAGGCGGGCGGCTGGGGTGGCGGGGGCCGGGCGGGGCGGGGGCAGGGGTGCTGGGAGCTGTCCGGCGCCCTCGTCCCCAGCTCCCTGTGGGTGTGAGAGCTCCTCCCACCTGGCCGGGCCCCGTTCGCCTGTGTGATACGCTATGTATTTGCTTTTTGGAAATCAATAAACTGCTGGCATGTCTGTGGGCTCTCCAAGCTGTGGATTATTTGGGGGTGCCTGGAGGAACCTTCCTGGCCATCACCCCCCCCCAAACTGACCCCCGAGCCAGGCAAGGTCCGAGCGTGACCCTGTATGGACAGGGAGGCCACCACACACACCCCTGTTCCGTGTCCGGGGTCCACGGGTCCCCCAGGAGGCTGGTGGCACCCCAACCTTCCAGACCAGGGAGCGGGGTGCAGGGGGGAAGCACTGTGCCCCACAGGGCACTGAGGGGAAAGGAGCTTCTGGGGCAGCAGGCACCCCAGTTCCTACATGAGGACACGGAGCCCCAGAGGCAGAGAGTGACCTGCCCAGTCCCGGCCGGTGTGGCTCCATGGATAGAGCGTGGGCCTGCGGACCCCAGGGTCCCAGGTTCGAATCCCGGCCACCCCGCCTGCCCAGGTGTCCCGGATGGATCCCCAGTAGGGGGCGTGCAGGAGGCCGCCGATCAGGGATTCTCTCTCACCACTGATGTTTCCATCTCTCTCTCCCTTCCTCTCTGACATCAATAAAAAAAATAATAATAAAAGGGAGAGATCAACCAAAGGACTTGTGTGCACACATACGAGCCTAACCAGTGGTCAAGGACAAGAGGGGGGTGGGAGATCGGAATGGGGGTTGAGGACAAATATGTGACACCTTCATCAATAAAGAAATTTTACAAAAAATAAAACTAAACACATAAACATTTCTAATATCTTAAAAACTACAATAAAGGAAGGCCCTGACTCGGCTGCAGTTAGAGAATGTGTAAGGGCCTCAGCACGGCCCCTGGCACACAGTAGGGCAAGCAGCGCGCACAGTAGGGCTAGCTGGCTGCAGACGTGGGGCCGGAGGGGGTCCCTGTGTCACGTTCGGGGGGGGGGGGGGGGGGACTCTTCTTGTCCTTTCACCCCCAGCAGCAACCGAGTGACCCCCTGCCTCGTGGGTCCCCGTGGCCATGGCCGTGGCCGGCTCCTCTGGGGAACTGGCAGGGGAGGGAGGGGAGGGTGGGGACAGGACAGGGGTGAGGCCGCTTAGACTCAGCAGGTCTCTCTGATCCCCGTCAGCCGTGCGGCGGCCGGCAGTGTCAGCACAATCTCAGCCCAGAGCCGCCCGGGACCGCACCCCCAACCCCATGCCCTCCACCCAGGTTCCTGGAAAGCAGCCCCAGCCCTCCTCTCCCCATCCCGCTCCCCCCACCCCAAAAACCTCCTTCAGCGGTGCCCTGCCCGGGCCTGACTCACGGGGAAGCTGCTTTGGGATTGGGGTGCGGGGAGGGTGCGGCTGGTGTGCCCGCCCCGAGTGGCTGGCAGTTTGCACCCCACAGCGGCTGGGCTGGGGGGGGGGGGCAGCCAGTGGGCGGGCGGGCGGGGCACCCAGACCTGGTTTCTGGAGGTGCTGCCTGTGGAACCCACGGACACTCAGGGGGTACCCCCCAACGATTTCTGGGGCGATCGGGGACGCGACGGGAGGGGTCGGATTCCAGGGAGGGCGGAGGGGCGTTCCGGGTTAGGGAACACGGGGCACGGCGCCCGGGCCCGCCCTGCCCTCCGGCCGGCCCCCACCCGGCCCGGGACCGGCCCGGGAGACGGGGACGCGCCCCACCCGCCCCAGAAACCGGCGTGGAGCCAGGGTGGGGCCGCCTGGGAGTGGGTGCTGCCTCCTCGGTGCCGCCCTGGCACGGACGGGGCAGCCGCGGGCGGGGACTGGGCTCGGGACCCCTTTTCCCCGCGGCCTGGTCTCCCCTAGGCGGGCCCTGGGCCCTGGGCCCTGGCCCGCTGAGGGAGGCTCTCCTGTCCCCGCCCCCTCCTCCAGGTGAGCCGGGGATGTGACGACGCCCCAGCCCCGCGGGGGGCAAACTGCAGCTGGAGAGCCCCCTGCGGCTCTCCGGCCCCCGGAGGGCGGCTCTTCCACAGACACCACGGCCCGGGCCCGTCTGTGTTGGAGAAGCGGCGTTGGAAGGAGTTTAAGTTTAAAAAACGTGGCTCTCCAGACACACGTCCATCGTGGTGCTGTTGGCATTTGGTTCTGTGGACGAATGAGTTTGCCGACCACGGCCCTAGCCAGCGTGGTTCAGTGGATAAAGCGTCCAATTCGACTCTGGTCAAGGGCTCATTCCTCAGTTGCAGGCTTGACCGACCCCTGGCCCTGGTCAGAGCACGTGATGGAGGCAACCAATCGGTGTGTCTTTCTCACATCAGTGTTTCTCTCTGTGTCTCTCCTCTCCCTCCCTCTCTCTCTAAAGAAACCGATGTGGCTCCATGGATAGAGCGTCGGCCTGTAGGCTGAAGGGTCCCGGGTTCGATTCCGGTCAAGGGCATGGACCTTGGTTGGGGGCACATCCCCAGTGGGGGACGTGCAGGAGGCGGCTGATCGGTGTTTCTCTCTCATCGATGTTTCTAACTGTCCCTCTCCCTTCCTCTCTGTGAAAAATCAATTTTACAAAAAGGTGTATCTGTGATAAGAAAGTTTTAGATTTTTTTTAAAAAATTTAAAAAATAAAATAAAAAATCAATGGGAAAATATCCTCTGGTGAGGGCGAACAAAAAACACATGAATAAAATAAAAAAATAAAATAAAACTAAATATAAAAATAAAGTAAATATAAAATAAGAACGGACGGCAGTGCCATTGGGTGCTCGTTGCCTTTATTCCGGCGTGGTGGTGTGGGCATGTGGGTGCAGCCGTGGCCAGTGGGCCCCCCTCCCCGTACCCAGCCAGGACCTGCTCCCGCCCCGCCCCCGTGCCAGGAGGGCCCGGGCGCT